ATGATGTCTTCATGCATTTAGGCCAGGTCGGGTCAGGTCAGGTCAGGTCAACCAGTAAGGGTTTTGCCGGGTATTCGTAGTAGGTGCACTAGGTGGCAACCGCCTCTGACAGCTTCGTAACATGTTACGAAGGCACCAAAACTACTTCGTAAATGTTCATATATGGTTGTTAAATTCGAAATCAGCTAAAAAAAAACTAGCCTAGAAAGATGCTGATAAAACTCGAAAAAGTAAACCGAGGTCATCAAAGGTCAATGAACTGACCTGACCTTCTGGTGACCTTGACATCCACCCTAATGCATGGGAGCAGCATCATATCCCATGTTTGAACGCTTGAAACCACGAAAGGACTGCAAACGCGCGGCAAATGCGAGCCGACATACGCCGAATCGCGATTCCGGCCAAACATGGTCTCGAAAAGTAGGTCACAGGTCAAAGGTCATTAGTCAGGGCCATTACATTTTTTAGGGTAGGTGTAAAATTGATTATAACTCGAGGGTACTGAAAGCTTCGTTGCGGTCGGCCGCTTTTTACGCGAGGTATTCGCGAAAAACCGAGGGGGAGTCCGTTCGACCCCCCCCCCCCTATACGGGGGAGGGTTAACAAGCCAAAACGTTGCTAATTTTTATTTTGATCTGACCTGTGACGTCAACGGTGATCTCGAGGTCAATAAAATTAGGTTTTGCTCGACAGTTTTTCCAGGGCTATCAGACGCCGTTTCAGTTTTGACAATCGGCCCAGTAGTTTCGGAGTTGGAGCGGGGGGGGGGGGGGTTCTATAAATAGCCCCCGCCTCCCCCAGTGGAGTGCGTTACAGAACATACCCCAGTGGGGCGCTGGTTAAGAGTAGAATTTTTGAATTATTGCCAACACTCAACACTGCACCTCATGGCAATTAATTCATTATAGGGCATTTTACCTGAACCAGCCTCTGGCCTAATGTCCCAAATTTGCTAAATTCCTCACCCTACAAATCCCCTGTTCTATTAGATGCTGCCATTTTTTTAAAACAACTTATCTTAAATCCTTGTTTCATCAAACTGGGAGCTAGGTCACGGGACACTGCGAGTCAAGGTGGGAGGGGTAGGAGATAGAGTGTCACTGCAGCACACACAATCAATCTTTCCATTGGTTTATCTTATATCAATGCCTGCTCTTTTCCAGAGCTGGCTTTCGAAGTTCGAACCTTCGGTATATGGCTACCAATGCCCTTGGAGAAGGTGTTGCGTGATAAATCGCTGGAAGGGCGACATTCAACGATTGTGTGAAAAGAGACCGATTGCATTGTGATGATAAAGTGAACTGTAATAATTGTTGTTCATGCGCGTTGTTTGGTTATGTGCAGACGTAACTTTGTTTGTGGCCAAATGCTTTTTATGTGTGAAATATTTCATGTAGGTTACTAGGTAGATGCTTTGGAAAAGTGAAGAGCTGCTTTGTCGACTGCTAGGTAGATACTGTCATGCATGCTGTTGTGCATCAGTAAGTGGCTGTCGTAATGATAAACAAATTTGGCATGGATAGGCTAAAGCACAGCATATGAAGCATGCTGGTTGATGACTAGTAAGATCCTGTTAACCGACTGGTAATATCACAATAAATGTCACATAGTAAACTATTGTTTTACGATGGTTGGCCAGCAAAGCAAAGCTGGTATCCAGATGACAAAAGGATGGTTTTACCATGATAAGTCATTAGTAAGCATTACCAGGGAGTAGCTAACGATAGTAAAGTCCTAGTTTCGTGCTAGTATCACGTGGGTTTTTGGGCATGGTATGACGACATATAGTTACCGTGTTAATACCATGGTAATTTTTACTGGCATTGGTATTCACATGGTTTTACATTCATATTAGGCCTAGTATTTGGGTCGTAAGTTAGTTTACCATAGGTAAGAGGCTGTTCAAAATATGACCACCACTCGAAAACTAACTAGGGTGGTATTTTTCTTAGTAGGCGGTACCAGGATAATACTAGCGTTAGTAGAGCTTTGGTTTCTTATTAGTTATGCTTTAGTTTCAAGGTAGTATGATGAAAAAATATTACCGTACTAAGACCATGGTATTTTGATGAGCATTGGTAGTTGCATAGTATTCCTTTGATATTGGGCCTAGTATTTGGATCGTAAACTGGTTTACCATAAGTAAAAGGCTGTTCAAAATATGACCACCACCCAAAAACTAACTAGGGTGGTATTTTTTTCTTTCAGTGATGATTTTTTTTAATACAACTTAGATCGTGCCCGAGCGACCCGCACTGCAGAGCGAGCCCCGAACTGTGCAGTGTGTCGGATATCAATCAAAACTAACGAATGTGCTATGGTCCCTTCTCAGGCCAGTATCATCCACTGCCAAATTAAGTCTCAACGCTAATGTCGGGGGTACAGACTAGTTTTGCATCCTACTTTTGACACACGCTGCGAGCCCCTGGCTTGTTTTGTGTTCGTCAGATGACAGTTACCAGGTGTCGGTTAGTTTTTACCACGTCCCAAAAATAGCTGGAGCGTTTCTGCCTTGTTTTGGAAGCAGGTCCTCGTTAATGCTGTGTGTGATAACAAAGTACCTAGTAACAATAATAACGAAAAACAATGTCAAAACGAGGGCGGCTTGTTTAGTGACGATGTTCAAAAGAAGCATCGTCTTGTTCCTACTTAACGAATGAAGCTCAAACTAGGTCAAAACTAACGTATTGCTATACATTTGAACCCCACGACGAACCCCCCAACTAGGCCCTAATCAACCCATAGTCAGATGACCAGCAGATCCTACGCCGCCCAATCCAGTCATCGAATTTGCCAGCGAATTCGTTTGAAGACCATCATATTCTTAAATATCGGTGGTCTTCAAACGAAATCCTTTACCTGTTTGATGACGAATTCATCCGGCCCATTCCAAAAACGCTCAAGATAAAATGAAAGTGTATTTCTGAGATAATGTGATTTCTTGCAATGCACCTTTCGTATATCAAGCGAACCTTTCACTTCCAGCCCCCGTTTACAGTTATCAATCGAATCAGAAGCATGCACATATCGATAGATCTGAACCTAAGAACACAGAAGACATTTTGTAGAGTACCTGTCTGAGCCTATGCGGTGGAGCCCGTGAGCCGCCCAACCGCAGCTGCCTCATGAACTTGATGATAGGTATGAACCTCAGATTGGCCAGAGCTTGGCCGTCAATAACCAGCTTATTTATATCCACAGTTGTAGTGACTTAGGGTTTGGAATTTGCCAAACCTAAGTTTTGATTACCAAGAAAAGTTTTGTACTTCTTGCACTTGCCTTTTCTTCATAACTTTGGCGGAAATCGTCGTAGTGAAACTTCAGTGTTCCGTTAGCTGTCGGTTCTTGAGAGAGTTGGCCAGGCCGGACACCGGGGGCGGCTCCACAACTTTTGAAAAATTAAACCTAAGTCCTATTGCACTGCATGGAGAGCAATTCATTTAAAATTGCTCTTGTTCCCCCCCCCCCCCCCGACAACTTTGCAAACGTCTCTGCGCGATTTAGTTGAGAATAATGGCTTATGGCAAGTTATTGAATCAGAACGTCGATCACTGCAGGTCATATATCGGCAAGCAATTCTTCATAACTAGACACTGCACAAATGGAAACGATACAGGTTTGCCCAGTGATAAACACTCGCACTTCACAGACGCACGCACCCCCGACCGAACGCGGCACGGCACACGGCGCAACCGGCGCCGGGTAAGCCGGGAACGCATTAAGTGAAGGATTCACAGGTGCGCCACTTTATTGCGAACAATAAAAACCTACCGCAAACGATTAAAAAAAAGTTTTAGGGCAATCGGAAATACAAATGTATTGACTTATAGAAATAAAATTGTTATTCACCTTCCAAATAACCCAACAATTTATTTGCCGTAAAAAGTGTCTGGAAATGGAAAGTTGCAAACATGATTCAGCAAGTAGGGAAACGCAGCAGCTACCTGGCGAATAATCTCAGGCTGGTTTAGTGACGAGTGCATTGCTACGGCTTGTTCCGCACCCTTCACAGATTACTATGACAAAACTACCCCTAGTATTTTGATCATCCTGAGGCTGGCTTTCACCTAATAATTTGATGAGGGTCTTCCTCGTTTCGGATTGAGGCGAAAACAAACGTCAAACAACCTTGATAGTTAATTCAGCACTTCAAAACAAAGGTACACCTAGGGTATCATTACAATACCGGATCATAACGATCTGGATAGTTCTCAGCCTGTAAGCTAACTAAGCGGTTACTCGTCAAGTGGTAGGTACCGGAAGCATTGACAACCTGGTGACTGTTTCGAGACCCTTGTTTTGACACATAGCTCGTCAATATTTTTTACAGTGTAACACAGGCTTTTCAATGCACACTCATATTTATTCTGGTCCGGCGGCAAGAGGCCGGCTGAATCTTTGGGAAGGAGAAATGTCTTAGCTTTGAGTTTCGAGTTTTCAGGCTTGCATTGGCATAGCCCCGAGGAGTTCCAACCGAAAGATGCGTACATGAACTGTTGAATGTGCTATGCAAACATCTAACCTCGTCGTGCAAAATGATACTCGTTTACCAGCCAATATGCCCGTATGATGAGTCGACTTCCTGCCCTCACAAAATGCTGTCTCACCCTCCCCCTGGCTGACAGCGCGCCGCGCGCCCTTGAGCGTCGCTCGGGCCGAGAGCATTGCCAGGCAAGGCAGTGGCAGTTTTAATCAACCATTCCTTTGCGGATAGAAAACGTGGATATCTCGTACTAGTCGCACTTACCTCTGAGTCTGATAGATAAAATGCTAATTCGTTGTCAATTAATGACAAAATTTGCATTACATAATTGGTAAAGAACGATGCGGTGCCAAATTTACTTCACCGATAAATTTTGTTCTGAGTTTATCGTGAAGTGAAAAGGAGTAGAATATCACCTTCACACATGACAGCTGTTAATAAAGCGCCTGTTCAACAAAAATTCACGCACAGACACCACATGTGACCTCTCGGGCAGGGCCCGCGGGAGGAAACTAACCTTGATGCTCCGCGTGTGCTCGTCCGTGCGTCACTGCAGATCGACAGGTGTGCAACTGTAACCGACTCCCGCTGACCTAGGCGGAACGCCGCCCTCCCTTGAGACACCCCTCCACAGCGACCGAGGCCTGGCGGCCCGCACCAGCCACCTGCGCGCACCACTCCGCACCACTCCGCACCACGGCGGCACCGCGCACCGTCTCACTGCGCCCGGCCGCGCCGTCACGGCCTGCCCGCCGGGCGGACCATGTGTGACGTCACCGGTCCAGCGTGACGTCATCCTCGGGCCTGGAACGGCTGGCGAGGTTCAAGGGCGCGCCGGTAGACGAGAGCAGACGAGAGGGAGGGAGAGGACCGCTCTTTGTGACCGAGGAAACGGCACGGATTTTTTTTTTAGGGGGGGGGGGGTTGGGCCCTTACGATCCAATGAAACCATTTCAGAGCCGGGAGGATGATAGGTATAGGATATAGGGGAAGACATTGGTCTGGGCAGGCACCCTAGTGAGTCGCCGGGGCTGAGCCTGTCCAGTGGACAGGCCACCCAGCCCCAAGGTACCGGCTACGGGGTGCGCTCCCTCGGGAGCAGCGGTGCCGCTCCAAGGGAGCAGCCCGCATGAGATAAAGTTGCCTTTCCAGTCCGGAGGGGGGGGGGGGGTTGCGGCGTGGAGGAGAAGGATTTCGGTATCCTGAGGATAGAAGCACGGAACGGTGAAAAAGAACGGCACGGAGCTAATAAATGAGCGTCATGGGTCGGAGGTGCGACAGGCACACCCGATACCCGCTGGGACAGACGCTTGGGACGCTTGGGACGTTTAGGACGTTTGGGAATGACTTGCTCCTGAGCTAAGGAAACTAACTGAATTAATTTTGCAATGTTGTGCTTTGCAGATACTGCGCTCTTGTGCCAAAATTTAAACCGCTTACAGATATGATTCGAATCGATTATATTATAAGCGAATTTAAACATGGCCATCTTGGCTTTGCTTTTACCTAGGCCATCGTTTTTCTTCAAAATACCTGCCATCACAACTAGACCTATTTTCTAATGATTTATCATTCGACATGCCTTTAAGAGCCAAAAGCGAATGTCGTCGACAAACATACGAAATTTGCAACACTTTTCTATTTACGGGAATTTTCTATTCACGTTCCGTATGCAAGAATTCACTAAAACAGTATCTTCAGTACGCATCGAATATGACACATTATTTCAGTGCATTTCGAAACTCAAACTGACCCGAACTTGCACACAACAATACCACTCGCAACTCAGATCTGTCGTTCCAAGCTGGCTGTTGTTGGCCTCAGCACCCAAATCGTATTATCGGTCAGATCGATAACAAGACGCAAAACAACACCAAATCCGAATTTGCAAACACGGCCTATGATGAAATGATAACATTTTCAAACAAATTTAGTCCGAACATGTTTGAATGGAATGATTCACAAGGACAGAGCCCCCGCTAAGCAGAGCTAAGTAACTGTGTCCCTTTACTACTCGCTGTGTGGACCCTCCTCTACCCTCCGATCGCGCAATTCCTATATGGCAGAATTAACCCTCGCCCGCACATGGGTGGGGGGGTTGCCATCCCCCCCCCCAGGTAGTCTTTCTGCTCTGCACTCAACATTTTTTAAGCTAGAAAGCTGATTTTTCGTATGCTCGTCTATCCTTTTTTGATGTTCGCTGAAACTTTCAGGTTTCTGTGATTTTTGGTTTCGGAGATATGACCTTGTTTTTCAGGTCATGTCATGACCCAAATGGCCAATTCTCAACATCTTGCGTTTGCCATGGGCCTTGTGAGCTTTTGACACCCTGATTTCGGCCTTTTTTGCCAGTCTTACCTCCCACCTATCATGGAACATGTTGTTCGACGATGTACAGGGGTCAAGGTCAACCTAGGTCATCTAAGATAATTGCGTTTTAGGCAAGCTGAATTTACTTTTTGTGAAGTTTTTTTATTGCATTTTTGGTAAAAGCTTCTCAGATCATGATTTCATGTAATATGGACCCAAAAACAATCGGTGCACACATCAGTATACACACAGACACACACAGACATACAAACACATATAATTGACCTTGACCTAACTTGACCTGAAATGACCTCAGCAGCAAAATTCTGGTCGGGTAGTGTGACAAATAGGTTCTAGCTGGCTTGGCACCAGAAAACAGCATCGTCATCGGTATTTGATAAGCAGCGCACTTGATATCCAGCGGTGACCCAAAACAGCAACATTTTTTAGTTTGACCTGACCTGGAAGGTCAATGACTGACCTGAGAAGGTAAAACTGGGTATCATTGGATTCGTCTCTTCCCAAAGAATCTTTTTGGTCTTTACCGCTAAGCTCTATCTCCAACAGGAACGAAATTGCGCGGGGGGGTGGCAACCACCCCCCCCCCCCCCCCATGTGCGTTCTAGGATGGGAAAATGGCATGTGCGGGCGAGGGTTAAGAATCCGAAGTTTGACGTGCGATGGCCGGGCGAACAGCCGGTCCCACCGGTGCAAATGTGCCCGGCCCCACATCCCCATGGGTGTGCACTGTGCAGATTTAGCTTATTCTCAGTTAGCAGCATTCGGTCATGACAAACCACAAAAATGCGACGGACACAAAACAGCATTGACGACAACGTTGACGTCTGCAAACCAGATTTTTACCTTTTTACCTACTGCTTATAACAATGAATAAGTGTGCTCACAAAATACATAGAAGCAAATAAGCCGTGGGTCAGCCGTGAGGCTGAAACATTAAGTGGGCGTGACCTTGGTCAAGGCAATCTCATAAAATTGAGTTTTCCTTGAATAAGCTGCGATCAATCAGCTAATAAGTAATAATGCATCTCTGGAGATCGAAAATGCATCATCGTCCGCAAAAGTTGTTCTCTTATTTCTTGTTACTTTTTCATTTTCACAAGCTTGGTAGGTATTTATCACCGTGTCTTCGCCTGGACACCAACACACACCAGCACTGCAGTGAGCACTGATGCCCGCTAGCCCGCTATGAACTCATCCTCTGCTACCACCGAGGAGTGGGCAGGTGGAACACTGACCTACATGTCTAAGTTGTGGGCGCGTCCATCGCGACTGGAACTCGTGAGCCAGGGTGGCCGCGAAGGCTACCGCCCGGCCTTGGGTTGGGTCGGGTGGGCTACTCAAACGGTGAGCTGTTGCCAACTGACAAGTGCAGTGCAGTGTGCCTTTCAAAGTCAGTTAGAAGCAGCTGGAGGAGAAAGGGTGACGTATTCGTTCCAACCCTCGAACCGCTTCAACGGAAGAGCTCTTGACTCGATAGGCACAATTGGAAAACCAGCGGGCAAACGCTGCTCTGACTGAATCAGAATCTCTCCAACCGTTTCGAGCACAATCGAATGAATGACCTATTTCAGAGTACAAAACACCGCTCTCTGCAATTGTGCAGATGCGATCTGCGGTGCATTCCACCAAGCGGCAATGGGGGCAACTACATAGGACAATGATTGTCGACATGCACGTACTAAACAGCGCACTATCGCCACGCCCATCGGGTGGGCGGTGATCGCGCCGCAAAAAAATTATTCTTGCTGGCAGTCTGTCATAGCTGACTCTCGACAGCACCTACAGCTGTGAACCATTCAACCTGTACGGCTGTGTATTTTAGCCTGTACATTGAAAGAGCATCGTCTTAAATAAACAATGGACGCTTGTTTATTCGAGGCGGCGTCTCTCGCTCTGCCCGTGCTAACCTTTTGGGGTATACGATCGGCAATCTGGTCGATTAGATTTAGGTTCCAGGAGGATAATCATTAGCTATGGGTGACTTGAGGTAGGGCGTAACCAGTTTACCGCTTAAAAAACAAATAGCTCAGTGCAGAGAGATTAGGTAAAACGAGAGACAGTTCGCTTGATAGGTTGTCTTTATTGGCCATATGGCTGGACTCACAGTCAGAAAAGTTTACTTTCACACAGTTAACACCTCCAACAACGACAAAATTGTTCAAGGTCAAAGCTCGGAGCACGCGAGACAGTTGCGGCTCCCGTTACCATGTCATCTGCACAAGAGATCTACAGATTTGCCAGCCGGAGCCCAGCTATACCGTTAGATTTCACGTGAGTCATGGGAAACACTTGGAAGCTGGCAGATCCTAAAAAAACTTAAGTGCCGTTGTTCTCACTAGTTATCAATCTACGGCATTGATCAAACTGACGAAAATATAAACACTATAAAATGTGCAACTAAAAACGTCATTTAAATGTTTCTTTTTCATTCTGTTAAATTGGATACGTCGAATGACTTTCATATGGATGTCCCTTGCGGCACATCTCTTTGATCGTTTCAGGAGACATAATTAGGTATACGACGTCTTTAACCCCAACTTGACCGGCGTCCCGCTGGGGCTCCTGGATTTCCTTCTCCTACTGGGTGTTGTTTGAACACCTACCTCAGATTATCCGTGTTGAGACGGAGGAAACAAGGATTAGTTATACTGAGAAGAAAGTCGCACCGCTTGTTTCTACCGGCACAGGCTGACCATGGTCGGGGTAGGGGAAAGCTTGATCAGCTATGAGGGATTGGGTTACACCAAGGGGATATTTCGCCACTGGGCGGCACGGATGACACCCGAGCGGGGCTGTATCAGATTGGCTGCGGTGGCCGGTGGGAGGCGAGGATGTCGCTGGGGGTGCACGGTGTCGTCAGCGCTGACAAACAGAGCCGCCGCGCTGAGCCGTAAGCGCCTCAGTCGCGGGACGCACGGTGACCCAATCAGTAGGTACCTCCTCAGTCCTCCTGCTCCTATGATGCTTAGGCTATTTACTGAGGTCTGCGGCCGGCCTTTCTGCAGTGTGCAATCCGGAATTAGTGTGGCAGGGATCTAACCGAGCTACGAAGTACATATAACTTATGCATGCGCTGGTGTGTGAAAACTGTACCTAATGCTAAAAAGATTGTGCCTGAATTTACATGAAATGGCGCTAACAGCTCACTATAATGCACATAGGCTCAATCAAGAAAATTTAAGCACGATCCATCTAGTTTGAGCGAATTTGAGCGAATGGTCTCAAATGTTTGCATCGTTCTGCGTGCGTGACGTAAATGAATGAGCTTGTTAATGCCATGCTATGGTAAATTATGCACCTACATAGAATGTACATTGCACCTACATAGAATGTACATCTACATAGAATGTAGCTTGACCGGCAGAACAACAATTGGAAGCGCGGCGTATGGCAGACACCTTTTCACGCGGT